TTGAGACATATTTATTTTTTGGAATTCCACTAGCTCTAGGAGAAGTCGTCACAAAAACTCATAGAGATGATGTATCCCTTTAGCCAATTGACGAACCTTCTTTCTAAGGTTTTGAAAACACTTTTTTTGAAATAAAATCCCGCCAACAAGTAAATGACAATAATAATATAACAATAGACAAGAGTAAATAAATAAATAAATAAATAAAATATAGAAATATACCAAAATAATAAAAACCCTAAAACCAAAAGGAGAGGCTTCTAAACCCCAGGGTTGAGTCTCTAGCAGAGTCGTCAACTGTAATAACCGGTTTAAAAATGAGATTCGCCACCATTAATTTTTATCCCAGGGAAGGGTATATAACAGATAACCCTAATTTGGTCAGAGATTCTAAGTTGTTGACTCGTTTTAGACGAAGGGAAAGTGTTAGGCACCCCTCATCTACCTTGTTCACAAGGATACTAGGGTTTAGATTTACAATTCAAGAATATGGTTTTAATTTTAATTAGGGGAACTCGCCACAATTTTTTAAAGTTGTATGCCTACGTATCCTCTTATGAGGAATCAGAGTCCCAATTCGTAGTTCATAGTTGTTTGGTTAGTTGTTTTTATAGATTATAAAAATATCTCGAATTCTCCTTGAACCAAGTCTGGGTTTGTAAATTGCGGAGTTGTTAGACGAAATTTGCAATCGATAGGAAATATTTTCATAATCCTTTTTGAAAATGTATACATGTTTGAATTAAGTTAGTGAAAAATTGTTAGTATTTGTCGGTTAGATATTTTCGAATGTATTGTATAATATGAGGAAAATAAATATTTTTAATGCATGAAGAAAACAATTTTAATGCAATTAAAGCATAAAGTAAATGGGTTAGTATTAAAAAAAGAATTGGAATTAATAAATAAACAAATTTAGAACTTACTATAAATATATTAAATATTTAAATATTAATTATGCAAAATAATAGAAGATAAATAAATAAAGTTATAAAAAAATTGATTTTAATTAAAAAAAATACAGCGGGTGTAAAATTAGTTGGCTAGTAAAAGGCTGGGGGGTATGAATAGTAAGACCCTAAATCTAGATATTGGATTTAGGCCCAAAGCACAGGGGGTGTGAATTTGAACTGGATAGTAAAAACTAGGGGGTTCGGGAGTAAGGGGCCGAGTCCAGATGTTGGACTTGGCCCAATAGCGCAGAAGGGGTGTTGTTTTACGTCAGGGAAGCAATTTGACGAGTGTTAATAGAACGGGCCTGGCCTAAAACAATTTTGTTTGATATGTTAGATGGAGTGTGGACGAGATTAGAGAGTTGCAGTGGACGCGCGATTTATGAACACTTGACTAAAATCAGAAGGCGTGGGATGAGGGTGCACGATAGGAGTAACATACATGATACAAATAGTTTTTTATAAAAGTGAGTTCCTAAGCTAAGGGCTCATTTTTTCGCTCTCGTTCTCTCTCTTCTCACAAAATCAAACAAACGTTTGTTGGAGGTTAGAGAGAGAAGCTCCAGCTGGAGCTTCTCTCTAGATTTCCGTCATTAGAAATCTCCTTCGCCTTGGACGCCACCGGCCAAAAATCGCTTTCGCTGGCGGCTGCTCCAAGGTACCACCACATTCAAACAAAACCACTGTCTGGGTTCATATGAAACCCAAAAATTTATGAACATTCAAACATTCTTCATGCAGAACCCAGAAACACGAAGCAGTCTAACCCAGAAACCTACAAACCCTAAGGTTCATGTATGAATCCTAAGAACTCTAACCTAACCCAAAACCCAGAAACCAAAAATCGTTAGAACTCTGACCTAACCCAAAACCCATAAAGAAAAAATTATTAGAACCCTAACCTAACCCTGATGAACTCTAACCCTAAACAAGAATCCTAATGAACCCTAATCCTAAATCAAACCCTGAAACCCCAACTCAAACCAAAATCACACAATCAAACCACCAATCACAATAATTAGTCAAGCCCTAAAAGCTAAGTATTGAGGGTTATCGTCTGTTGAAGTGAATATTTATGTGAATTTCCTTCTGGTTCTTTCTCCCTCAGTCTAATCATTTTCTTTTTCTTCTATTGCAGGTGCCTGCGATGATGGTGCGACGATGGTGATGGCTTGAAGGCGACAGTGATGTAACACAGATCTAGGGTTTCAGAAATTGAAACCCATATCTCAAGCAAGAAGGTTGATTTGCGGCTTCTGCTTCTTCTGCTTCTTTTTTCTCCCTTCTTTGGAACTTTTCCCCCTCCCTTTCAATTTAGAATTATGATTCTTATTTATAGGTTTTAGATTTAGATAAGTTAGGAAATAATTTGTAATTGTCGTTATAATTTGTTGATTGAAGAAATTAGGGATTAAATTAGATTGCAATTGATTTATAAATGTATTTTTTGATTTGTTTTGATTCTGTTTGTAAATCGAGATTGTAAACGATTTGTATTGGTTGAGACTTTATTGGACTGATTTTGTATTTGTAGATTCAATTTGATTTTGTGCAATATTTGATTTGATTTGTTTTATGAAAGATTCGATTCAATTGCGTTCCTGGACTTTTTGTTCACCTAACGAAGAAGATGAGTACGACTGCTGCGTTGTTGAGTGAAGGAGGGTGGAAACCCTAGTCTTGATTTTGACTTGGTCAACATATTTCAACATAATAATAATTTTAAATAATAACGATAACATTGATAATAAATATATAATAGATTATAATATAATTATGATAGTAGAAATAAGTATAAAATAATAATAAATAAAATAAAATAATTATTGATAAATATACTAACCAATAATGCTGATAATAAGATAGTACTAATAATAATTGCAATAATAACTAATACTAATAATAAAAATTTGAACAAAAATAGTAGTTGAATAATAAAAATTAATTGACTAAAATATAATTGAATAACCAAAAATTAAGGAGTTGGCTTTAGTCAACTGGGCCATGAGCTAACTATGGGCCTCTAAAAATCTTAACAGGTCGTCTGATTCAACTTATAATAATAGACACTCTTTGACAAAAGATAAACACACCCTGTTTTAGATTTTAAACCCCCCATTATTTCAAAAAAAATATAATAGTGCTTAAATTAGCGACAAAAAGAATAGATTGATTTAGTAATATTAGTAAGACAATTTTGGGGTATGACAGTGAGCGTAAAGGAATGTTTAAATCAAAAGTAAAATATTTTAATTGTCAGAAAACCTATCACTTTAAAAGGGATTGTCCTAAGGTAAAGGTCAATAAAGATTCTGTTCAAGTTGCAGTTGTCTTGGATGAGGAAGGTTATGAGGATGTCGGTGCACTAATAATATCGAGTTTGGAAACTAAAGATAGTTGAGTTATTGATTCAGGTTGCTCTTATCACATGTGTCCAAGAATAACATATTTTGAAACTTTGAAGATGGTGCAAGGTGGAGTAGTTCGTCTCGGTGATAATAAGGCTTGCAAGGTTCATGATATTGGTACGGCCAGACTTATAATATTTGATGATCGTGAACTTCTTATTCACAATGTGAGGTATATTCCTAAACTCAAGCGAAATTTGTTATCTATAAATATGTTTGATGATCTAGGCTATTGCACTAAAATTGAACATGGAGTGTTGAAGATTTCGCGTAATTGGAAAAGGGTAATTAGAAATAAGTGGATGCAAGTGGTGAGATCAAGATTCAAATGTTGCTTGAATTTGATCATGGTTATTGATTAGAGTTTCAACTTAGCTGAGAGTTATTCTCCCCTCTAGAATAAATCGTTAGATCGAACTGAATAACCAAATATTCATCTGTTTCTCGTCTTATTCTATTATATTATTTATATATTGATAATTATTACTATATACCATTTATTTTGATTCTTAGTGTCATTATTTATCTCACAAATTAATATTAAACCTTGTCGTAAATCACAACACAAACAATCAATTAAGCTTATAGATTTACTAAACTCAAGCATCTTGTTTTGAATAATCTCTATCTATTTATTTTGGATCGAGCCAATAGATTAAGCTTGTAAGTTTACTAAACTCAAGGCTCCTTAATTGGACGGATTTAAGAGATCAAAAGAGGTTGTATGAGTCAAAGCTAAGAGCCGGCTGAACTTACCGAATATATATATATATATATATATATATATATATATATATATATATATATATATATATATATATATATATATATATATATATATATATATATATATATATATATATATATATATATATATATATATATATATATATATATATATATATATATATATATATATATATATGCATGATTCTTTTAATTTTTCTAAGTTAGGATGTTTAAAAAAGAAAAATTAATCGCAAAGGTAAAAAATCAGTTGGAGAGATTTATGATGTGAGTAGCCTTATTTAACATAAGCGATGTAGATTAGTTGAATTGAACCGGACGACACTGAATGTTTTCTAATTCCGACAATCCATGTCCCTCCTAGATATTTTGAGATATTTTGGTTAAATAGACCAGTGGGTCCACTCCATAGAATGTCTGAATAAGATCTCTTCAACTTCAAGTGACGTGGCCACATTTCTATCATTAACAAAATATCCACACCACCCCCAACACCCACACCCACTCAACTAAATATCTATTTCTCTTTCTTTCTTTTTTCCACGTCATTTCCCTCTTGCTATCTTACGCCTCCATCTTCTCCCACTTTCTTCCTTTTTCAGCGCATGTTAGTCCCCACCACCTTCCATTCCAATTTCTTCAATTGCTCAAACTCAAACTCAAACTCCATTTTTATTTCCAGTTTTCTAACTCCTTTAGATTTTCCCAACTCCACTTTGATTTTCCTTTTTTTTTTTTTTGGATTAAGTGGATGATGACGATGATGATAGATTTTGAAGCTTATGCATCTAGTTAATTAGGGTTTTGGTGAAAATTTTGATTTTGATGGAGGTTAGGTTGTTTTAGTGTTATTGGGTTGTGTGTAGTTTAGGACAAAGGGTTTGATTGAGAGATGGAGACTGAGGAACGTGAGCTTATTGATTTGAACAGCAACCAGAGTAACTGTGGTGGGAATGATAGCAAGAGCGGTGATGGATTCATTGACAGGAGTAAAGTTAGAATTTTGCTTTGTGATAACGATTCCAAGAGTTCAGAAGAGGTTTTTACTCTTCTTTTGAATTGCTCTTATCAGGGTATGAAAATTTTCCCTTGTGTGAATTTTAGTCTAAAAGGAATAACTTGTAACACTTGATCAATCTTTGTTTGTTCATGTCTTGTGTCATGAAGATTAAATTATGATATGCTTTGTTATATAGGTGAAGTATGAGCTTGAATTTTATAGATTCGTAAGAGTATAATAACTCTTATTGGATGGCAAAGATATGAAACGAAATTGTTATTTTGTATGTCAAATTTAAATTTCATCTAACTAGAGGTAGAGAAAGATCTAGAGAAACTTTAAGAGAAGTTATTAAGAAAGATCTCGAGATTAATGATTTGGATATAGACGTGGTTCTGGATAGATCATTATGGTGGAAGTTGATCCATGTAGCCGAGCCCACTTAGTTAGATATGGCTTGGTTGTTGTCGTCTAGTTAAATTGATGTCTTGTTATAGAAATAGAGTTTGGTTCAATTGACTTATGTGAACATATGAGCACTTATGAGATCATATGAGAAGGCTTATGGAAACTACTGATGAGATGTCCTTAAGTTGTTTTCATTTTATTTCTGTAAGCTCTTCAGGATATCTTACGAAAACAACTTATAGTTTATATGAAAATAGTTTAACTTTATTCTATCTTTTGTTATACAAATAGATTATGCATAAGTTATTTTATGATAGGCGCTTAATTTAGATGTTTTTATCTATAGATGAGATTGTTTACATAATTTCATTTATTTCTGAAACTCAAATTGTGTTTTCTGTCCTAGTAATGCGCTTGTTGTCTGGTTCAAATTATCAATTATTTTTTCTTTTCATTTGTTGCACTTAATAAAACATTATTCCAATAGGAGTATTTAACTTCCATTATCTAGGATTAACTTAATAACATATGCAAGGGACATCCTTATTTCAATATATAGAAACACGACTAGTGTGAATTTTCCTCCGGCGTTCATGAATTTGAGGTTCAATTTTATATTTAAGAATATGTGCCCAGAAGTATGAACTTGTGGTCTTGGGCATTATTTCCCCCCGTAGAGTTTTATCTCCCTTCTTTTCGATTTCCTTGAATGAAAAATACATTTACATGTAAATGTAATGATTTCATTAAGTACTTCCTTTCCCTGATGTGGATGGAATCTTATGATTTAATGCTTCTGCAATTCCTCAAATATTCTCTAAGATGTATAAACTGGATTTGTCATACTTCACAGTTACGTCTGTAAAATCAGCAAGGCAAGTGATTGATGCATTGAATGCAGAAGGGCAATACATAGACATCATACTAGCTGAAGTCGACCTTCCAATAAAAAAGGGAATGAAGATGTTGAAGTACATAGCACGGGATAAAGAATTGCGCCGAATCCCTATTATAAGTAAGCTTTGGTTCTTTCTTTTCATAAGAATCCTGTAAGTAAGACTAGTAAGTATATTATGTTCCTTGTCAATGTTATTTTATTATTTTTATATTTTGTTTAGTGATGTCTGCACAAGATGAGGTACCAATTGTTGTAAAGTGCTTGAGGCTTGGAGCAGCAGATTATCTAGTAAAGCCTTTACGTACTAATGAGCTATTAAATTTGTGGACACACATGTGGAGAAGGAGACGCATGGTATGTATTTATTTCCCCAGTTCATTCATATTTATGGATGTAGGCCACTTTCTTACTATTTTTGCTTTTCCATCTGTTCTTAAACTTTACCCGTGGTCTTGACACATAAACTATCAAAATCCCATCGAAGTGTTCATGAAAGTATAGACTTTACAATCACTGCATAATTTGCATCTAACGAACATTGATTAGTAGATTCACTTATTATGAAAAGATGTTACACGGCTTTTACGGATGTGAAGAACATGGAAAATAGGAAGGAAGGAATCCATATTGAATTAAAAGCATATTTTATACACAATCAATTTACTAACCATAAATGAAATATATAATGTTGGGGTAGTTTCTCTCCTTTACTCTAGTTTGATTATTTACTGTGCATATGCTATTGCGTTTCTCCATTATTGTGGCTTTTCCGGTCTGAATTTTTGTGAGCATTTCCTTATCCTATCCTTTCCTGTCTTCTTGTACATTTTGGTCTGTTATACCTTGCCCCTTTTAATCTTATGTTACATGTGCATTTAGCTTATCTCCGTCGCACATCCGCATTACATTTTTCTTTAGATTTCCAATCTATAGCTCGTACACTGTAAAATGAATATTGAATTGGGTTTTTTAATATCTATTCTGACAGCTTGGACTTATAGAGAACAACATCGTGAATTATGATTTTGATCTGGTAGCATCAGACCCAAGTGATGCCAATACAAATAGTACCACCCTGTTCTCTGATGACACAGATGACAGGTCCAAAAGAAACACTAATCCAGAGCCTGGAATTTCAATCCAACAAGAACACGAGGTGAGCGTAAGAAAAATGGTACTACCTCGTTTTTTATTATAAGTCGTTTTGGACTTTTCACACGTATTAAGAAAAGTAATAATTATTGAATGAAAATGAGAAATTATAAAGTTTTTTACAAAATTGTCCTTCATTAATAGCATAGGGAAGATACATTTACATAATTGAAAGGAGAGAGGATAATAAATATTTAAGGGTAAAATAGGAAAAATAGCATTAATTATTCATTGGTATTGTAAAGTGACTTATATTGTGGTACAATTTTTTTTCCAAAGTGACTTATAATAAAAAATGGAGGGAGTACCTATTAAGTAATAAAAAATTGAAAGTAATAGGTTCAACATTATAAAAAATAAATGAGGTTCTGTACCGTGGGGTGCCATGAAATTAAATTAATTATATGAAGATTTTGGGGTGTTTTTAAATGAAGTTAAAGCTTGCTCTGCAAATTATTTTAGCTTTCAGTGTGGTAACTTTGAGATTGGCACGGTTCGTACTTCCATTTATTGCTTTCCAAATAGAGATAGCAATTATGATTGTACGATCGAGATTGTATAACTCATGTTATCTTATATTTCTCCAGGATAGCATTGCCACCGATGCTGCTGTTATTGAGGAACTTCCATATGCTAGTCTATCAGAATATCAGCCCGATGTACCAGGAATTAGTGATCGAAGAACAGGTATGCTTGAAGTATACAATGTAGTGCCAAGCTAGTCATCTCTTATGGACAACTTGTATGATAGATAATATGAAAGCTTATTAGTAACTTCGGTTTTTTCAATCATTCCTCGCCTTCTGTTAGCCAAATTGGCTTGGTTATATATTTTCTTCAATTTTAAGAAAATTAAATAAGTATGTCTGTTCATGCTTTGGTGTTGCTTATTGTACAGGTTCTTCAGGACAGCATCCGCCATGCAACAAAGTTACGAATGGTGGATTTGATGGTAGTTTGCACATCTTATTTTTCCTTCTATGGCTTCATTTTTACAATTATGAAAACAATTTCAGTCTAGAAGGGGTATTTGAGTTCCTTAAGTTGAATACGGGCTTACTTATGCGAGAACCCATTTTCATTTTCATTATTTTATCTCTGATTGTACAATAATTTTGCTGGACATTTTTTATCAGGTCCAAAGAAGAGTGAACTAAGAATTGGAGAGTCATCAGCCTTTTTCACTTATGTCAAAGCAGCAACAACAACAAAGAGCAACTTCGAAGAGATTGTGCATGTTGAAGATGATAGTACTTCACAAGGGGTGGAAGATATGAATCAAGTGTATTCTCAACAAGGGGGTAATGACCTTCAAAGACATGAAATTGGAGAAATGATTGAAAGTTGTTCACAAGATGACTTACCCAGAAGCAATAGTATACCTGATTCTTTCTCTATCGAGAGATCGTGTACCCCGCCTGTATCAATGGAGGTTTCACAACAAAATAATCATTACGAGAAAGAACATCATCCACAGGGTGTGGTTCATCCAAGAAGTGGAAGTTATGGTTCTGAGCTCAACCCACCGAGCATGCCTTCTCAACATGCTTATCCGTATTATATACCAGGAGTTGTTAATCATGTTATGATGCCGTCATCAGCACAACTGTATCAAAATAATATCCAGGGTCTTCAGAATCATACTAGTTCATCTATGATTGCCCAGTACAGTCATCTTCCCCAATGTCCACCTCATGCAACTGGGATGACACCCTACCCGTATTTTCCAATGAGTATTTGTTTACAAACTGGTCAGGTTTCTGCAACTCATTCATGGCCGTCATTAGGAAGTTCAACTCCATGTGAAGCAAAGTTGAGCAAAGTTGATAGGAGAGAAGCAGCATTAATGAAGTTTAGACAGAAAAGAAAAGAGCGCTGCTTTGATAAGAAAATTAGGTATGTCAATCGAAAACAACTTGCAGAAAGGCGGCCTCGTGTTAGGGGACAGTTTGTCAGAAAGTTGAATGGTATTAATGTGGATCTAAATGGACAACCTGCTTCCACCGACTATGATAATGATGATGATGAGGAGGAAGAAAACAATGGCGTGAGAGATTCATCTCCTAAGAATGCTTGAGAAGATCAATTTGCTTATTTGGCTCAAGAGTGCATTCGCAATGAATTCCTCCCTGCACAAAAGGTTGTCCTGTTCAGAATTTGCCTCTGCTCCTTAATTTGATGGAAATTCTATGTGTTGGCATTAGTTGACGACAGTGTGCTATATTGGTTCGAACTTCAGGGATGCTGATTCAATTCCAGTACGCACTACGCACCCTTGTCTCGTGGAGTTCAAACAAACTCTTGCTTGGTCTCTTTTGAATATCTCTCTTTCAAATGATTCATCTTGCTGAGGCTCTTGCAGAAGATGGCACAGCTCCGGTTGGTTAAGTCCAATGCATTAAATGTATTAAACTTATGTTTAATTGGAACTATTTGGAGCAGGCCGTGATTTCTCATAATAGTTATTAAAAAATATGTCAAAAAAACGAACAAATTTCATAACCAGCCAAAGTATTCACCCTCCATTATTTTCTCTCTAGAATGTTTCATCACTCTTGAAAGTTTTAAGGGGACTCTTTAGCTAAGCAAAATAAGAAACAGAGTTAATGAAAGGTATTAATGCAGGGATTTGGATCCTATTTGGTTTGATATCCAACATGAAGCAGTATGTTGGTATGATATCAAAGTTAAATTCTACAATTCAATATGGGACCTAATTGTTTTAGCTTTAGAAAAATAAGTTTTTTCTTTGTATTTTAAAAAGATTTTTAAACAGTTTTTTTTTAATTTTATAAGTTTTTTGTATTCGTATTTATAAATTAAAAAATTAATTTTAATATTCTAAAACATAAAAACGTTATTAAAGATCAAATATAATTGAAATCTGAAAAATTATTTGAAATAATTTTAAAATAAAGTAATTTTTTGAAATTTTAAAATTCAATATTTTTTTCAGCAAATGAAAAAATATCTAAAATAACGTTTTAAAAATAATTATTTATTTGAAGTTTTTATAAATAAAAAAAAAGAATTAATGTTTTATATACAAAATTATGTAATATTATAAAATTATTTTTAAAAAAGTCAAAATAACGGATCATATAAGTGGACCTAATGAATTTTTATGGTGAGATCGTCAACATAATTCTCTCGTATTAAATTTAAAGGTTAATAGTTTTTTTTTGTTTCGTATGTTAATTTTGATTTCTTAATTTTTAAAAAAATTATATTAATCTTTTAATTTATCAAAACGTATTATATTAATAATTTTCGTTTAATTAAAATTGAATTTAACAATTATTTTTAAATTTTTTTGTCGTAATTAGACGAAAATGATTAATATGATATATTTTAAAAAGTTAAATAAACAATATTAATTTTTTTAAATTAAAGAAAGCAAAATGAACTTTTGAAGTTAAGATACAAAAAGGATAATGGCTTAACTCTATCTAGTGCATTGAAGATTTTTCTAACAGTTCATAACACAATTTGTGTGGAGAACGTTTAGATAATAGACAACATGTCATTCATCTCATTTTTAGGATGAAATGACTTTGGTACTGTTTGATAAAAATGGTGACCGTGATTGATTGATAAGTTAGTTGATAATTTATAGTTTATAGTTTATGATTGATAGATGATAGTTTATAATTTATATTGATAGTTGATGATTGATAGTTAATAAATTAATTAAAGTATTTGATAAAATTAACAGCTCAACTAGGTGATAAATATAAAATGACATAATTATTTGACATTTTTTGTTTTTAATACATAATTATTTTATTTTAACTAAAAAGAAATTATGAAGATAAGTATGTAAGTTTGATTAGGGTGTATTTGGTTTGAGGTAGATGGAGGGAGGGGGAAAAATATTTCTAATGAAAATGTGTTTGGTTCAATTTTATGTGGATAGGAGGGAAGGAAAGCAAAATCTTTTCAAATCACATTTTATGCGTCCTTCTAAATTGGAGGAATTTAGAGGGGAGAAGAGGAAAAATATTTTTTTATATTTGATAAATTAATTTATTTAGTAAAATATCTTCAATTTTATTTTATTACTTCAAAATTATTATTTTCTTTCTTGTTCTTGCTTCTCTTTGTGTGATTAGTGTTTATTATTTTCATCAATTTATTATAATTATTCTCCACCTTCGAATTTTCTTTTTAATTTTTATTTAATATAAATTATAATACTACAATATTTTTATTTTTTTTATAATTTTTAGTTTTATGTTTATTTATTTATTTTTTAAATTTATTTTGTATTCTATTATATTTTCTTTTATATAAAATTTTAAACCGTTCATTTCTTTATTTTATATATATATATATATATATATATATATATATATATATATATATATATATATATATATATATATATATATATATATATATATATATATATATATATATATATATATATATATATATATATATATATATATATATATATATATATATATATATATATATATATATATATATATATATATATATATATATATATATATATATATATATATATATATATAAAGTTTAATTTATATTACAAACTGTTATCAATATATAGTTTATTTTGTGTCGAAGATTATAATATGAATCAATTGTACTCGATTTTTTTAACATTATGTGATAAATTATAATTTTTTAATCACTCAATATTACATATTTTATTTTCAAAAAAATATTTACAAATTTTCCGCCTTTGAATATTATATCACTTAAATAAAATTATAAGAATAAAAATGTAAATTAGCAATAAGGTATCTCTCTTTCTCCCGTGAACCAAACATATTTTTTAATCTAAATCTCTTCATTCATGTCCTCTCCCCTCATTTGAATCAAACATGTTTATAATTAAAAAATATCCCTCTCCTTCCCTTCTCTCTATTAAAATCCCTCCTCTCACATCCCCCCTCATTTGAACCAAACATACCCTTAATGAGCAGGAAATTAATGATTGTATCTGGAGAAAAATATGGAAAATGGAAGTATAAGATCGGGTGTGTTGCTTCATTTGAATATTTAAACATGATAGACATCTAAGCAACCTTAATAAAAGTGTGAAAGTGAGAAAATACACAAGAAGGGGGGTTGAGTTATGTAACTGGTAACTTATGCTTTTTCAAAACAGCATCTTCTGAATATGACCAAGCTCAAATTCTAAGTCCGAGTATACAACAATGAAATATTTAA